GGTCGACCTTGCCCGTCGTCCGGAGCCTCAGCAGCTTGTGCCCGTAGAAGGCGTTGCGCCCCTCCCAGACCCCGAAGCCGTCGTCGAACAGGTCCACGAAGTAGAGGGAGAGGCTGTCGTCCAGGCGTGCTAGCGGCTGCAGCGGCAGGCGCCTCTCCTTCGCGTAGGTCTCGAACTCGTGGACTGCCGTCGCGTACCTCTCCAGCGTGCCACCGGTCACCGTCGCCATGATCAGCGAGTCCCTCCGCGGGACGGTGATGGGGCCTGCCCGCCGGGGGCCTGTGGGCTGCCGCGGTCGGCCCTTCCCCGGTGGCGGCTGCCGCCCAGTCCGGGTGGGCCCTCCAGCGCCGGGGCCGCTCGTCCTGGCCGAACTGGATGATCGGGTCGTGCTCGAGGAACGAGTCGGCGGCCTGGCAGGCTGGCTCACGGGGTTCATCGACCTCACCGTGAACCGATGCTCCTCGAGCCGCCGGGCGACGGCCCGCGGCCCGCCGGAGGCCATGGCGGACCTCGCTGGGGTCGAAGGCTCGCTGGCCCGGGCGTATGTCGCCCGGCAAGGCCGAAGAAAGGAGCCTGGCCCAACACGAGCCCAAAGCCGGCGGGTAGGCGGCGGCAAGTGGTGTGAGATGACCGTGTAGCAAGACCGAGTGTTTATGTCGGGTGCGAGGTCGATCTCCCAGGGACTGTAACGCTCTCAGGTTTGTCAGGATTCGGGTAGGTTTTCCGATAGGCCGTGCCATACATGCTCATATCGAAGTTTACCTCGACGACGTTCGCGAGTCCATGAAGGCGAGCGATCGGGTCGAAGCTCCAGAGTCTCGAAGTCCGGGGGTTTTCCACACTCCAATAACACCCACGACGTGATAAGATGTGACACAACGTAGCCGTAAACAGTGCGAACTCGATGCCTAGACGTTCCCGGGCCCTGGCTCGAACATGGTTTCGGATCCCCCTCCGAGCGATACTCCAAACCTGACAAGGCGTTCCCAGGTGTACATATATCAAACGCCCTTCTCGGGCCAGCCGCAGGATATACTCTTGTGTACTGCGACGAGAGAGATCAAATTCCCAGCCGTCTCTGATATCAACTGAATCCGCGAAGGGAAGCCCCTCCGCCAGGCAGGCTCGAGTCAGCTCCCCCTTTCCGCCGAAGAGCTCCATACAAAAAACTGATTTACCAGGCTCGCTCTGAATTGACGGGCGTACAACAGATGCTGAGGAAGCCGACGGAGGTGACCGAGAAGAGGAGGAGGTCGTGTAACTCGCAGCTGGAGCGGACAGGCTCGGGGCGGCGTCCCGACGCTCGGGCCCCCGGTTCAGCCCAGCCGGCTTCTTCAGGTCCCAGCGCCGGGAGTCCTCGTCACTCGGGTTACGGTCAGTCTCGATGTACCTGAGCCGCCAGGAGATCTGCCCCCCTAGGCGGTAGGCGGCTGCGCGCCTGCAGAGGGCCTGCAGGCCCGCGCTGGAGCGGCCCTTCTCGAAGGCCCCGACGGTGACCTGGCTGTCGCTGATCGAGAGCAGCTTTGTGCCCATGAACTTCACCGATCGGCAGTGCCGTCGGAGCCCCATCAAGGCGACCCTCGCCTCCTTGAGGTTGATGTGCTCGTCCTGCCAGCGCCAGCGGTCCGCGGCGACCAGCCTGTAGCGGCGCCTGGCCACCCAGCTGTCCTCCAAGGCGGGGATGCCCGAGTCAAGATGCAGCTGGGTGCGGCCTCGAGCCGGCTTCGCAGCGCGGCTTCGGGCCGGAGAGGGAGCCAGGCCGCTCGCCTCCTCCGGCGCCTCCGCCTGACTCAGCAGGGACTGGCCGAAGGCGGTCCTCGGGCCAGTGGCGGTGCCGGGCGTGCCGCCGCGCACGTAGTCGAGCCCGCTGCTGACGTGGCCTGTCACCGTCGGGACGTCGCGGTACCGCCAGCGTTCTCTCCACTTCCAGGCTTCTCGGAGCTCGGTCGGCTCGGCGGTCGTCACGTGGAGTGCGTAGCCGCGGACGGACGAGTCCCCGCAGTACACCTGGTCCGAGTAGGTCGCGCCCAAGTCCGCCTCCATCAGGAAGAGCAAGTTCATCGAGCAGCGGATCTCGGACTTTACGGAGGGCCAGACCCGCTCGGGCGACTCCAGCGACTCCTCGATGAAGCGGTAGCAGGCGTTCAGCGCGGACATCGCCTCGGGGCAGAGCTGGTTCAGGTTCACGACGTGCCCCAGCCAGCACTGGAGCGTGTGCCCGTGGAGCTTGCGGCGCCTCAAAAGGGCGTGTCCGGCCATATAGGTCCGCCAGACGCGCCGAGCCACGTGCCTCAGGCGACGCTCCTGCCAGTGGTACACCAGGCCGAGGGACTGCATCTCCAAGCTGTTCCCCGGCTCCACGTCGAAAGGTATGCGGTCCTCTCGAAAAAGATTCTCGATTTTATGCATCTGAGTGTTGGCGTCAGCCTCGCAGCCACCGATCACCTGCACGTTGTCCACGTACACACCGGCGACGCACTTGCCGGGCTCGATGGTCGGGGCAGGCTGCATCTCCCTCATCACCTTCTCGGCCCCGTCGGGCAGCGCTCGCTGGACTCGGTAGGTCACGGCCTCGTTGGCGAAGTAGAGCGCCCAGGACCAGCCCATGCACACCGCGCACATGCAGGGGTAGAGCTGCTCGCCGTCCACGACCTTGGTCTCGGCCCCCTCGGCGTCGTCCCAGATCGAGTCCGGCAGGCAGCCCATCTCCGTTAGCTCGCGGGTGTCGAACCGGTCTGCGAAGCCGAACCAGCTCGCCAGCTCGGGGATGGTGAAGTTGTAGAAACAGTCTCCGACGTCCCCCTCGCGGCCAGCTGGGCTGAAGGCCCCGGAGCCGAGGCCCCCGAAGCCCGATGCCTTCAGGCGGGGGTCGGAGAGGTCGAGGTCGGCCATGCATCGCGAGGAGCCTAGCCGAGTAGTGGGAGGTGGCCGATGCGCCCGATTGGCCGCTCGGGCGTCGATGATCAACCTCTGGAGCCCATCCTTTTTCTTGACCACGAAGATGCCCGCATGCCCCTTCAGCCGCCGACGCCAAGTCAGCAGGCCCTGCTGGTCCAGGCGCTGGTACAGTCGCTTCCGAAGGTCTCGCGAGCGCCGGAGGAGGGGGTCCCAGTACGGCGTGACGCCCACTCCCTCGGCTCGATCTCTCTCAAGCCCCGCTTCGTCCATCTCGATCAAGTCGGAAGCGTGCCGAAGGTAGCCAGCGTCCGACGCGGGCAACTCCCGGCGTATCGGCCGAACGTGGACCTTCCTGCGCAGGATCTTGACCTTGTCGAAGTCGAAGCTGGCCAAGCTCTTGGGCTCCATCCCGTAGTGGTCTCTTGAGTCGAGGATCTCGTGCAACGATGACTCCTCTGTGAGGTCAGTGGGGCAATCCCCATACGCCAGTACACGCCGGGCGACATTCTGGATCATCCACTGCTGCACGGCGGTCGGCCGGAGGTGCCCTTCTGGTGCGCGGTCGTGCCCCTGGGCGCGACGTGAATTCACGTTGGCGGCGGCAAGCTGGTTCAGGGCCCGAACCGTGTCAAAAACTTGCCGTTGCCGCGCAGAGCTGCATGCAGAGCCGAGGCCACTCGGATCGCAGGGCAGAGGAAAGGGGTCTCCATGCCGTCGATCTCGTGACCGGATCCCTCCAGGAATAGAGGGGGCTAGCCCACGTCTGTGTCGGCCGTGGGGGGGCTCTCTCGGCGCCCGGGCTGCCAGCGCCGGCCCCCCCACAGCCCCGAGAGGCGTCGTCCTCCCTCGCCGGCGCCCTCGGCGCCGGCCTTGCCCCCTCTCTTCTTCAGCTTCTTCTTGGTCGGGTCGTAGCCGTCGCCGCCCTTGCCCTCCTTCAGGTTCGTCTTCTGCTCCTCCCGGTACAGGCGCTCCTGCTTCCAGATCTGCGCCCTCTCCTTGAGCTTGTCAGTGACCCAGGAGTTGAACTTGTTCGTCGTCGCGCGGCCCGCAGCATTCACCGGGGCCGAGATCACTATGTCCCGCCCGCTGTAGTCCGGGTGGCGCGGGTTGCGCTCTACCGCTATCTCCGTCTGAACCAGCCAGCGCACGATCAGCTCCGCGGAGGCCAGCATGGAGGCGTCGACCTGATCCCAGGAGTGCATGAGCCGAATCACCTCGCACAGGTTGCGGTGCACATGGTTGACTGCCGAACCCTCACCGACCCCGCTGAGCCGCTCCCACTCCGCCTGGTACGACGTCATGTTGCCAGGCCCCGAGGCCACCGACTCGAGGAACTCCTTCACGCTCCTCACGCCGGCGAGCGGGAAGTTCGGCTGATCCGTGTCTCTCATCAGCGCGACCGCCTCCGAGAGCCTCAGACAGCGCTGCCCAGCATCGTCGAGGTGGTCCCCGAGAGTGCGCACGTCCCCGAGGTCCGCCTTGGTCTCCTTCTTGAAGTCGTCGAGCTTGCTGGCCGCGATCTCCTGCACGAAGATCTCCTCTCCGTCCACGACCGCCACCCCCTTCGTGTCGAAGCCCGTGCCGCGGGCGTCGTCGTCCATGACTTGCCAAATCTAATCGAGGTTTTTTGGGGTTTTTCTTTAGGCCCACAGCAACGAGCCCCTGCGTGAACTTTCGCACCAGGAAAAACTAGTGGTGGTGGCGCGAAAATTAAGACAAAGCTGGCGCTCTTGTTCGTCCCTCCTCCTCCTCCTCCTCCTCCTCCTCGTCCTCGTCCTCCTCCTCCTCCTCCTCCTCCTCCTCCTCCTCCTCCCCCTCCTCCTCCTCCTCTTCCTCCTCCTCCTCCTCCTCGATGGGGGGATGTGGACAAGCACGTGCATGCCTAGATTACCCGCCCATGGGCTACAAACCCTTGTCGTTGTTTCAATGTCGCCTGGGTCAGCCTCGCGGATAGCATCACGTTGCTTATTGTTTCGCATTACTATCGACATCGCCAGTGTTTTGTCCCGTAGTCTCTCCAGGCTCAAAGGCTTGGCTGATTCGGCCACAGCACATTGGATGTTGGCACTGGCTGCTTCGGCCAGAGTCCAATGCTCATTGGCCTGGACATCGGAGACTGCATTTCAAGGCGCGCTCCTCCAGGCCAACCGAAGCCCGAGAAGCCAGGCCATTGGAACACACGGGAAACATACGACTTTGATACAGAAGAGGGGGAGGTGGAGGACGAAGCGAAGGATGAGGAGGTGCTCCTCGTCCTTCTTTTCGCTACAAACTCCCAGGCGAATTCTACAGCGAGGTCGTGCCAGGATTTTTCCAGTTCATTGTGCTGTTCTCCCTGGCGTACGGCGCCGGCGCAATCCACCTCATCAGCAGGACCACTAAGGGCGAGCGATTGGTCCCGAACAACAGATGGGGCTCGGTGGCCAGGGCATGGTGATGGCAGGGATAGATGGGGCCCAAACAAGACTTGTCTAGGATTGGGCCCTTATTCCCTGTGCCAGCACCATCAGGTGGAGGCATGGGTCATTCGCTTCGCCCGCGAGTGCGGCCTGGCCCAGATGAGCACCCCGAGCTCTCAATGGGATATCTCGACCCATGTGCACGTGTGCGCAGAAACATGGGGCCACCGGGGAAAAGGCCCCATTGCCAAAGAGTTGGGTCTGACGCACTTCGTGGACAACACGGCGGACTGCATCTGGAGCGTGCTCTACGATTCGGCTGGCAACGCGAGCGCCACCATGCAGGTGCACGCCGATTGGAAACGCATGTGTGTTACATAACAAGATGACAAGTTTTTGGTGGGAAGAGATTTTCAATATGTGTTTTGGTCCTCCGAGGCTGCCGTCCACTTCACGGGGCTCAATCCCGTCGGGAACGTCTCCCAATTCTCTCCGTGCTGCTCCGTGCAATCTTGGCGAGAGCTTGCCGTTATGCTGGAGTTGCCCTACGTTGACAAGGCCAGGCGGGCTGACCTTTGCAACCCTAGACGTAATCAAACCGACGGCGCTACTTGGCGATCGTCAGTCTGAGGTCGAATAGGGCGTGCGGGCCAGCTCTCCAGAGGCATGGGACATGCTGGACCCCATGGGGCCGCCCAAGATGCGCAGCATCAACATGCTGCCAGATCTACTGAGCCATCTCAAGCACCATATCGTCCAGGAGTTCGGCCACATCACGTACCACGGGGGCCTCTTGCTCAATGCCATGTTGTGGCCCTTCCCTTCTTCTGGGAAGCGCGGGCGTTCCAATGCGCAGGCGGTCAGTGGGTCATCAGCGGCATCTCCAACAACGCATGGAGACACCAATTCAGCGTCCAGTGTGCCAACGGCGCCTACTACTCAGCCGTCAGAGCCTACTGAGCAGGCAAGCCAATCGGCTGATTCGGCCAAGGACGACACGAGTCAGCAATGGTCCAAGTGGCGCACGGCTGGCACGTGCAGCGCTAACTGGCACGACAAGAAGATGCAGCGAGCCGTTGCGCACCGGGTCCGAATTGAGTCCGGCTCTCCCGCGGCGCGGAAGTACATCCAGCTACCCATGTGCAGCGGCTGTGGGCGCAATCAGCCAGCAACAACATGCTGGCGGGTTTTCTGCCGCCCTTGCTGCGTTGATGCAGGCGGCTGCGACGTGCACTGGTGACTCGGCCACGCTACTGGAATGATCGCGCCAACCCAATCCGTCTTCGTCATCCGATCAGCCCCACCTCGCCATTCATGCCATCAACACCACTAGCAACTAGCCTAGCACGGTTCGACAAACCTGGGGGTAAGTTGTGAGGAAGTCTCACGCGGATTAGCAAAGGTACAATCGCCGTATGAATAACAGAAGTAGTAGCACTGCCAATAAAAGTAGCGGCCAAGGGCATGATTGTCAAACGGTGTTTCTCTGCTTGGACTGCGCCCAGAGACCCCAGATCAGACTGCCTCCGTTCCATTCCTTTCCACCTCATGTTTTCAAACAGGTTTTACTGGCTCAAGCTGTTTCGGCCTTTGCCGTCTACCTCGTACCTGCGCTGCTGGCTGTTTCGGCCATGGGCAAGCGCCCGCCGCCTAAGTCTTCTCCGGGCTCCTCCGTGAAGGCTCCCAGACGCCAATTGAAGGCAAAGACCCCCGATGCGCAGGTTGATGCCGCGCAGAAGAGCGCGGATCAGAAGCTCCAGGATGACAACATGTGCGTTAAGGTCTTGGCCCAGGTCCACGACGCCTTGGAGACGATCAACAAAGACGCCATCTTCGCGGGCGTGATGGACATGGAGCCCCTCAGGATCGGTGACGGCGGCATGCAAGCGCCGTTCAGCCAGGAAGAGTTCAACAACGTCCTCAGCACCCCTCCAGAGACCAACTCCACTGATCACTTCTACCTCTGTGGCGGAAATTTTCTATGGCAAAGTTTTACTTGGTTGGTGAACCACAGAGTTCCAATAAACCATGGACAAATTGCCGAACTCCAGCGCTTCAGTTACAAGCACGACGACCCACCCAACAGGCTGGAGTTCAATGTCGCGGTGTGCGTGGACTCAGCAAACACAGACGTCCTGAGCCACAAGGGCGCGATGATGCGACTTTCATCGCCCGAACCTGTCTTCGCTGTCTTGTTCTCCATTGCCAAGGCGATCCAGGAGGGCGTGGACGAAAAGATCCGCATGCGCTGGCGGAAGGTCTTACTCACGGCCCCCTTCCAATTTGAGGTCGTTCCTGAAGGGGAGGAAAGGTTCTGGCGCTCACAGAACCTGAGGCAACGCCTCATCGAGGCGGGGGTGGTGTCCCACATGTCATGCAGGCAGTGGGTGTACGACATCATGGGGTTCAAGGCCGCCAAGGAAAGGGAGCTGCAGAAGTCCATTAGCTCGCTGGTGCTTGCAAAAATGTACAACGCGAAGATCACGTTCGCCGGCGCCGCTAACAAGATCACCATCAGCGACAGCTTCATTGACAGCGCTGCGACGGTGTTCGAGCGTGTCTTGTCCCAGGAGACGGCCAGGCACTGGCTGGAGTGGGCAGAGGAAAAAATGCTCGGCGAATGCCCCTTCAAGACGATCGCTGCGCTCCAAGCTCTCGTGGATCGGGCTCGGAGCCCAGTGTATATCTCGTGGGCGGTCTGGGGCATCACAGATCTGTGGAGGATGGAGCTCATCACGCTCGGGGATTTGTCAGGCAAGAAGATGAAGGACTACCGAACGTCCTACATTGAGGTTCTGAACCTCAAGTTCGACATGAAGCAGTATTGCCTTTACACGTGGCTTCCCACCCTGGGCCTGAAGGTCGAGCAGGTCCATAAATTGCAGGAGGTGTTTGAGGACTTCGGGAGCGTGCGGGCCAAGATGTCTGCCTACCCTGGAGAAGTTGCGGACACCACGTGGCTTGTGGTTTGGCGGTCCGAGGGCCTGAACAAAATTGCCGACATCCTGGAGGACTTCATCTACACCGTGAACTGGGACATGCGCTACAAAGATGCAGTTCGGTCGAAACATAAGATTAACGAGTTCCTTGAGTACGACTCTGTCCAAGAGAAGCTCAACGAGATCAAAGTGGAGCTGGCAAAGGAGATGAGCGTCGCCATCGACTGCGCCCAGGGCAGCGCCGGGGGGGGCACGGCTGCTTCGGCCACCGCCACAGAGACCGCAAAACCAGAGGCGGCTCCTTCAGGCTTCGAGAGCTTGCCCGAGTCCGAGCAAGAGCAGTGGGTCAAGTACGCGAACAAGCTGTTAAGCACGTGCGTCGAACTGATCCCTGAACCTAAGACGGGCGCCGAGCTGGAGAACGCCCTCAAGGACTCCAAGCTGAACGAGATTCGGGGCGACCCGGTGGGCCTCGTCCTGTACTACTTCGACGTCAAGGGGCACGGTGAAAGCGAGCATAGGCCCGAGCTTCGCATTCCGTCGCTGCGGGAGCCTATCTACACGAAGATCGTCCGCGCCGTGCTCAAGGCCCGTGCGCCGCCAGGCGGACTGGGGCACATTCGAAACGGCGAGGTTGCGATCATCATGGATGGCGGTCGGAAAGGTAACAGCAACAAGCTCATAGCACCATGGAAGGAGAATACGTCCAAGGAGCAGCAGAAGAAGAAGAAGGAGGACGACGACGAGGACGAAGACGAAGAAGAGGATGACCAGGATGACGAGAAGGGGAGCGTCACCAGTTCCATCTTGCAGCTCGTGTACACAGAGGAGAGCCTCAAGGAACGGCGCCTTCGCAACAAGAGCTCGACAGGCTCCGTCCGCCAAACGGAGTGGGCGCACATGGTTTCGTCAAGCAAGATCTGCCTCCCTGAGCGTGCTCGCAAACACTTCCCAGGGACGACGGCGGGCGACACCATCGTCGGGATCACCAAGCCTGACTACAGCAGGGAGTGGCAGATCTCATGGAAAGTCAAGAAGGAGCTGCTGGGCAAGCGCAACATCATTCGCGTGGGTGGCAAGGCCAAGGGGGCCGACGACGGGGAGGGCACTGACAAGGCAGCAACTGCCAAATCAATTAGCTGCATTGGCACCGCCATGCCATAGGGGTCACGAGCTCGCCGTTCGGCTGACTCTGATGGCATGGCGGCTTGCCATCGCAATTAATGGATTTGGCTGTGCAGGCAGCGGAGCGTCGCACGGACGCGACCATGGGCCCCTGCACGCTCCATGGAATGCCGAATACTTGGTACTCAGAACTGATCCATACATTATTTGCCAAACTCGTCATCGATATGATATGACCCCAATGGATGGGAAGTTTGCCTACCAGTGCCTGATCAACAGGTTGGGCTACGTGGGCATTGCCTTCAACGAGTTCCATGCCGATGAGCTTTTGAAGAAGCTGAGGGCCGAGCTCATGGACGACATGAAGAACCCCGAGAGCAAGATGTACGTCCCCGCCTACGCGAAGGCCATGGGGTGTGAGGCCGCGGCCAAGCCACCACCGCCGACGGATACGAAGGCCAAGAAGCGAGCCAAGGGAAAGCCGAAAGCGAAGCCGGCTGTGAAGCCGCTGGAGGAGGAGGAGCCGGCGGAGCCGGACGGGGAAGATGTGCCGTCGGAAGAACTTCCAAATGATGACGAGGACGGTGAAGTGTGGGACCCAGACGCGTGAGTGCACATCCTGACTAAGCTGTTTCGGCTCACTGTCAGGATCTAGATAGAAACGTTCACACGCACACACACACACACATACACACACACACACACGCCACAGCACGCAGGTATCTAGGTAGACTCGTAGTAGTAGGTTGCGCGCTCCTTGGTACAACATCGGGATTGGTTGTTCCACCAAGGCGTTTGCTGCATTTCAGCTCTTAGCTGATTCGGCTGGCGCATGCACCTCGACGTCTACTGCGGCTGAGGTTACAAAAGTGATCATCTTTCTCAACATCTTCCTTTTCGAAAGCCTGTCAAGTGCGAAACGAAAACACAGGAACGTGTCATTTGCCTGTGGTTTGATCCTCGTTCCTCAGGGGTGCACCTCCTCCCTCCCCCTTCTCGTCCCAGCTGAGAGGGCTGATGGATCCCAGGGGCGATTTAAGCACTGCCCCCACCCAAACATGTTAGCGCACCTCCGTGGCGCGATCAAGCGAGGATATCCGCTAGGCTCTCTCGGACCCCGGACAGTAATCTCGAAACCTCATCCTCCTCGTCCTCTCCTGCCTCCGATCCTCCTTTCTCCGATCGCTGGCCTCAACAGTTGCTACGGGGACCCAGGCTTGAGCCAACATGATTGTTTGAATTCTTGGGCGTGTCCGAGCGCTGGTCCAGGGACGTCCCAGGTAGCGCACTAGTTTGGAAACCGATTGACATCCATGAATACGCCAACATTTCTGAGGGAGGCGTAAGGAGCTGGATGCCATCCAGCTGCATGTGCCGCTCAAGGCCGCCCTTGAGTGGCACAGTGCAGCGTTCCAGATCTGGATGTGAGCTGGATGTTCAGGGTCGACCTGAACATCCAGCTCACATCCAGCTCTGGAATGCTGCACTGTGCCACTCAAGGGCGGCCTTGAGCGGCACATGCAGCTGGATGGCATCCAGCTCCTTACGCCTCCCTCAGACTTGAAAGCCATCCTGGCCAAAGCGGGGGCGTCATACAAGGGCGGTGGCTATCTAAGTGGCATCCACTCTGCACGCGCGGTGTAGAGCATCGAGCTTCAGGTTGAAGGAGTGGTTTGTTTCGCCAGTGTCTCACGAGGCCATTGGTCCTATCTCCCAATGTCAGGCTGCCGACGGAATTCAAGGTCGGCACCGAGCGGCGCAAGGAGCTGGATGGGCACATCCAGCTCCTTACGCCGCTCGGTGCCGACCTTGAATCCGAGCGGCTGGCCAGAATCAAGGACGACACCGAGTGGCGTAAGGAGCTGGATACGCACCTCCGGGGCCTTACGCCACTCGGTGCCGACCTTGAATCCGAGCGGCTGGCCAGAATCAAGGACGGCACCGAGTGGCGTAAGGAGCTGGATGGGCACCTCCGGGCCTTGCGCCACTCGGTGCCGACCTTGAATCCGAGCCGCTGGCCATAATCAAGGACGGCACCGAGTGGCGTAAGGAGCTGGATGGGCACCTCCGGGGCCTTACGCCACTCGGTGCCGACCGTGAATCCGAGCCGCTGGCCAGGATCAAGGGCGGCACCGAGTGGCGTAAGGAGCTGGATGTATCCGAGTGGCGTAAGGCCCCGGAGGTGCCCATCCAGCTCCTTACGCCACTCGGTGCCGTCCTTGATTCTGGCGACGCACGCACGCGCGTATCTACACGGGCGGCTCGGTGAATGCTTCGGTATTCATTTTTTTTGCGCACCGTTTGGGCTCAATGAATATTTTCAGCTGCTTCGGCTGATTGCGACTGCACTTACGCATTGCTGCAGCCTGGTGCCGCGAGATGGGCCGCTCGGCGACGCCCAAGTCCACGGCAGCGACGAAAAAGGCTGGGGCCACGCCACAGGCAAAGCGTCGTCCCAGGTGCCTGAAGAAGATCAAGTTCGGGTCTGATTTCTCTGGCATGGATGGCGCCGCGATCGCCATGTTACGATTGAACATCGATTTCTCGGTGCTGTTTGTTTCGGACACCCACAAGAAGTGCCACAAGCTGCTGGAGCGGCACGAGCCGAAGCACATCTACACTGACATTATGGACGTGCCCATCAATGATAAGCCGTACGTGGACGTCTACGTCTTCACGCCACCATGCCAAGATTTTTCAGCTAATGGCAAACAGTCTGGCGCCGATGGCCCCCACCAGACGGGGAAACTCATGGGCAAGGCCCTCCGTTACATTCGCGAGAAGAAGCCGCGGCTCGTCCTGTTCGAGAATGTGTTTGCCCTGACACATGTAAAATTCCGCCCGGTGTTCCGGGGGCTCATCAAGCACATCCGTGAAAGCGGGTGCGCGGTGTATGACAAGGTGATCAATGCCAATACTTGCGGCCTCCCGCAAGACCGTCGGCGCCTGATCATTGTTGCAATCCGCAACGACTCCATCAAATGTAAATTCCAGTGGCCCGAGGCCCACAAGGCCGTCTCACTGAAAACCATCATGGACTCCAAGACCCAGCAGGACGTGCCCGGTCGCCTGCCCAAGAACGCGATGGGCAAGAAACGCTGCGCCAAGGCCTACTCGGAGTGCCACCAGAACGGCATCGATCCACGGACCACCCCTGTCGCGGTGGACATCGACGCAGGGGAGAAGTTTCAGGTTTACGGGGTGGACGAATGCAAGACGATCACCCGGGTGCGCGGCGGGTGCGGCGGACCGTGGATCAGCACGTACGGACGCCGCTTCACCACGCGAGAGCTCTTGAAGGCACCGCTGCTACGGGACTACCCCCACTGCCCAGGGAAAGCCGACCAAGCGTTGTGGAGCTCAGCGACGACGCTGAACTGAGCACAGGCTTGGTCGGCCACCACGGGGCATTGGTAGTATGTCCTTAGCCGCCCTAGGCCCAGGGCTTCGCGCCAACAGACGTCCCCTACGAGGAACTCAAAATCACGCCGCGCCAGGTCGGCATGATGGTTGGCAACTCTCTGTCCCCGAACATGGCTGGCTGCGTGCTGCAGGAGGCGCTTTGGAGCGCTGGTCTCACGAAGGAGAAGCCACAATTCCCAATCATGTCTCATTGCGTGTAAGAGGTAGTCGCCGTGGACGTGCTAAGCTGCTTCGGCTTTGAATCAGAAGTGTCTGATCCTGGTAGGTCCTTGCTGCTGTTATTTAGCTGCGTTCGGCTTTTTTATCAGCTTTCTCGCGCTGTCGCGGGCGTATTTGTGGACCAAGCCTATAGTGAAGAAACAGAGTAACCAAAATGCGGCTCCCGCTACCATTGAATCTAGGCTACCATAGTCACGTCCACGGGGCTTTGGCAGCCAGACCAGCGTTTGCTCCGTGGGTTGTTTTCGGATCCAAGTCGGTTCAGGCATCCAATTGAAATTGAGCCTCTGGCAGCGAGGAGAAGGAGGATGACAATGAGGAGGCAGGAAGGGAGGGGAAGGAGGAGAAGGATGAGGATGCACGAACATTGAAGTATGTGGGCTCTGCTTCCTGGAACTCATATATCCCCCTTCCCGTGCTGCTCCTCCCCCCCATTCCCTCCTCCTGTTGCGTGGAGGCCCGTGTACCTCATCCTCCAACTCCCCACTCGACCTCATCCTCCACCTCACCCCTGCCTCCTCTTTCTTTCTGCGACTCCCCCTCCCCCTAATCTTCTTTCTTCCTTCGAAGCCTGCAGCGTCCCTACTCCTGCCTCCTCGCACTCCTCGCCGTCCGTTCCATTGCCGTTTTGGCCCTAAAGGCTGGCCAGCTGCTTCGGCTGGCCGGCTTCAGCAACCATGGGTCAGGGGCATGACCCAGTCGCCGTAACTCGATGGCGGCGGTTGCACCCGCGGTGGGCCAAACAGTTTCTGCTGGTGCCGGGGGACGCATCAAAAGGAAGTTGGTTGGACAGCAGGTGGAAGCAAGGGCTTGGTGTTGGATGCAAGTGTTGCCACGCAAGTGGGTTGCCAGGATCTTTTGGGACGTACGCCATTCAATCTGCAGGCGCTTTGCAGTTGTGCCACTTCGTGAGGCATGAGGCTTCAAGTGCACATAAGTCTGCGACTGCCGAGTATCTGTCGAAGCCCGCTCTAGAAACCAACGAGTTCCAGGATATTGCCAAAAGAGTGGCCGAGGGAGAATCGTTCGCGAAGTTAGGCAAGCCTGGCCGAAAAATTGCGTGGTGCCTGCTGGAAGCTATCAAAGAGCAGAATCGCGCGGCGATTAAAGGTGCTAAATACATCGCTCTGATGCGGGATGAGCGCGCAGGGCGCTTGCACATCAGATTCAAGGCTGTGAGCGCCTCTTTACATATTCATTCTGGCACTCTAGGCATGGAGAAGGATTTTGGCACTGGCGCGAGTGCCATCTGTGCGGCGACTGATCGCATCATGCGCTGGATTTGCACGGCCTTCCACCAGCCTCAGATTGTCGAGCAGGCGTGGGACCTCACCAAGCTAAACACTTCCCTGTACGATCATTTGCGACGCTCTATTTTGTGCGTTGCGATCGATTCCGCTGGAGACGAGGTGCTGGGTGCAGAAATGATGAGGACGAGGGCATTGAGCCAATCACACAGCATTCTGACACCCAACCTACAGTGGGTCATCAAGGACAAAGCCCACGCGTCCAGGAGAATTGTGAGTCGCCCATGGGCGGCCGACGATTTCATCAAGGACGTGGCCCTTATGATGTCCCAGGGGCGAGGCTCAATGGCCAGGATTATCCAAAACAGCCTAGATGCCAGACGCGTTTTTAGAAAATTTGTAAAGGCAAGTCAGAACAGTGTTGTGAGGTCGGCATGCACGAATATGAAAGCAGCGAAACACCGTTTTGAAAGCTTCGCAAGGCCATTAGGGCGGACATGCTTACACATTCACGCCACGATTCGCACAGCCCTTTCTTTGGTGGACAAGGCCAACACGGCCGAACGGGCCAAAGCGTGGCTGCAATGGGTGAACACAGAGAGATGTCTGATGGCAGCAATGTTGGCAGACGCCAGCGACCAAGCCCTGGCCCTCACACGCCTGATGGACCAGGAGGGAGTTGACCCTGCCATCATCAACAGGGAGATCAATTCCTTCAATAATGCTATCACGGCGCTTTTTCATGGCAATCAATGCCTCTCGGTTTTCGGATATACAAAAGTGATGCTGGGACTGCTACGGGAGCCCGTCATCTGGAACGTCGGTGGCGTCATGTACTCCATTGGCAGCGAGGACGGGGTCGCGGAGGAGGTGGTCGAGAAATGTATTGGCAGAATGCGTTCGTGGATCATTCTGGCGCGAGCTGCATTGGACTCTGAATTCCCAAGCTGGGAGATCGGACAGGCACCGGGTTGAGTAAACTGGATGGTATGTTGAAGATTTCTTGTTTTTTGTTTTCGTGTTTTCTGACGTGCGTCATATTTCGACGTCGGGAGCGGGCCCGGGGAGGGGAAGGGGCAGGGGGCAATACAACGTACCAGTCTAGTGGATTCAACCAATAAGGCTTTCAGGATATTCGATGCCAACAGCGCCATGCACAACAACCCTGGCCCACACATTGCCAGAATCGCACGGAGCCTCCAACTGGACGCGGCCAAACTTAAGGCTCAATGGCAGGACATGTTTCCGCGAGTCCACGCCCGTTCCAGCGGAGGAGGCTCCGACAACATCACGCTGTGGAAAGGAGTCTTAGAGCAGATGACGAAGCCATGGATGATAAAGCACCACCCCACCGATGTCCTCTCTGCGGCCTTGGCTGGTTACGCTTGTTTCTGTGCTTCCACCTCTGGCGTTGAGCAGAGCTTCTCAAAAACGACCATGTATGTATCATCTCAGCGTTTGCACATGCTGCAGGACACCGAGGAAATGGCAGTCAAACTCTGTTTGGATTTACCGCAGCACGATCACAGCAAGCTGATTCCCAGAAGCATTGACATCTTCAAAACTGTTTACAGTGGAGTGCGCCATCATTGCAAGGACCCCGAATGCCGTCGGGCTGATTTCGGTGTCAAGCGTAAGCTAGCTGCTTCGGCTGGTTCGGAAGCCCAGTTCATTAGGAAACGTCGGAGAAGCGCTCATATAGCTGGTTGTTCGGCCACGGTCTTCAGTGAGATCGAGCGCGGTGCCGAGTGGTGCCACACCCATGATAAGGAGCTTGCTTTCCAGAAAAACAAATATCTGGAGAAGAAGATTGATGCTCTAGGAGAGAATACTCTGCTCGAGCATGAAGTGGCCCCAGGCCTCCAAGATGCCCTGGCCGCAAAGCAGAAGAAACGCGTGAAAGACCACCAGGCCCGGCAGAGGAAAGCAACGCGCGTGCAAGCTGCTCTGAGGGGCGTGTCGGGGAAATCCGTCCTCCAGCGTCTTCAAGGCAAGCGCGTTTTTGTAGAAATGAATTGCCGCGGAGCGGCAGTGGCGCGCGCAATTGCGGGCAATGGCATGACGATCGGGTCAAAACATGACTCAGAGTGCTTTGTTGTGCGGACGCCCGGCAATGTAGATGCATGTATTAGTGTTGTTTCGGCGCTGCGGGGTGCCTACCAGATTTCTCCAATGCTGCTGACATCTGGTGGGGAGCAGGGGGTGGCTGCCAAGTTTACTTCCTGTGGCCGCATCCCTAGGGCAGTGTATATCAGCCCAGGCTTCTTAGTACACCAGGCCTCTTTCTGTAAGTTCCTACAGCTAGCCGTGGACAATACTCCAGGGTGCAAGTGGAAGCTGCACACTGAGGGCTGGGCAGCCTTAAAGGCAAACGAGAAAGCGGGGAATCTCTTTGCCTTGTTGAGGTCTGGCCAGTTGGCTGCCTTTGATGGCCACAAACACAAATTCACAGCGCAAGGTTTCCTTCGTAGGATTCTGCAAATGGACGCTTCTGCGTCAGTCAGGGGTTTGGGGTAGCACAGGAAAAAACATCATCGCACTCGCTGCCAATACCATCAATGTGTCACATCACATCATCATCGCTGTTGGACCCGTCATCACCATCACCGCACTGGGTGAGGAGGGGGAGGAGGAGAAAGGAGGAGGAGGAGGAGGAGGAGGAGGAGGAGGAGAAGGAGGAGGATGAGAAACGATGAGAGCGTTGAGCGTTGAAACGATGATGAGGAGGGATGATGAATATGGAATGCGATGAGAGCGCAGACACGATGATGATACATCCTGCTGATTGCACCCCTCGGCGTACCATGGCCCCTACATCGTTTGAGGCGCCCTCCGAGAGGGCACCTAAACTTAGAGGTGGGCCAAAGAAAAAACCCCAAAAAACCTCAATTAGATTTGGCAAGATGATGGCCGAGTCGATCACCTCACCGAACTTCGCCGACCGGGGCTCGGCCACCACCCAGATCATCCTCTCGACCACGTCGACCTGGCCCACGCCCAGCAGCTGCCCCTGGATCTTCGCACGGCGGCGGAAGCCCGCCAGGGCGGCGGCGGCGATGGGGTCGTGGGCATAGACCTGGTGGACCAGGTGGGCAGGGAACGGGGCTCGCCTCTCCAGCACCTCGTGCCGGATGTCCAGCAGCTTCAGGCGCACCAGCGCGAGGTCAGGGGTCAAGCTGATCCAGATGTCGTCCGACACCCTGAAGAGCAGCACTCTGTGGTGCCAGAGGAAGCCGTTCTCGTCATCTGGGTAGTGGACCAGGATCTGCGGGTCGCCGATGTCTAGCGTCAGCACGTCCGCCATCGGGCTACAGCTGCCGGCGGCTCGGCGTCGAGGGCCCTCGGCCCGGCTGCGGGCACGTCAGCCCCTCCACCGCCGCCGCCCTCGAGGCCGCGGCCGGTTGGGCGCCGGGCTCGGCCGCCCGGCTCGGCGCGCGCTCTCGCCCGCCGCAGCGACAGCGCCGGCAGGCCCCCACCAGGAAACCCAGCGTGCCAGCACCAGAGGCCACGGCGCCGAGCAGCAGAAGCCCGGCCAGCAACAGGCACCGCAGCGCCCACACCTCCGACTGGAGGAGGCCGACCTCCTGCTGGAGGTCGATGATCTTGCGCAGCTCCCAGTCGCAGGAGCAGCGCTCAGAATCCTCCTGGCAGTGGCCGGAGGTCGCGAACGGCGCCGCGAGGGCCGCCTGGGTGGAGACTCCGCCCCAGCCCCAACTCCAGCAGGCGCTCCAGGTCGCCCCCCAGGCCGTGAGCAGTGTCGCCCACAGCGGAGGCGCCCCTCCGTCCATGCAGGGGCCGCCGCGGCTGGGGGCCTCTCAGACTTTGAGCCACCGCAGTTGCGGAGGGTCAGCATTTACACGCACGGGCGAGGAGGGGCCTGTTGGGGTATTCACGTCTACGACTATACAGGGCGCGTGATGAGAACAACTGATGATCTCTGCTCGGGCGAATCGCGGGGGGGGGGCGCCCGCCAAATGAAAACACACGGCGGCGGCGCCGGTGATTCGCGCCGACACCGGGCCGAAAGCAGAGGGCGACAGGCGCGACGCAAGCGGCGCCGCTTCAGCGGAAGGGGGCAACAACGCCGGGGGGGGAACGGTAGAAGCATGCGGGAAAAATAACTCCTCCTGCTCCATTTTCCCACCGTCCCCCCCACCCCCTCATCTACAGCGTCCTGCGACGACGACGACAAAGACAACGATGACGATGACGACGACGACGACGACGACGACGACGACGACGACGACGACGACGACGACGACGACGACGATTGCGGCGGCGGCGGCGGAGGCGGCGGCGGCGGCCACGGCGACGGCGACGGCGAACGACGACGCATTGTGGATGCGCCGTGGGGTGGGGGCGCGGGGGTGCTGCGCATGCACGCTGTAGCCGCCGACGACGACGACGACACACTGCGGATGTCCCATGGGGTGGGAAGGGTGTACTGCGCAGGCTTGCTGCACTCGACGACAACGACGACGACGACGGCGACGGCGGCGGCGGCCACGGCGACGGCGACGGCGACGGCGGACGACGCACTGCGGATGCTCCATGGGGCGGGGGGGGCGGGGGAATGCTGCGCATGCCCGCTGTAGTCGTCGCCGCCGACGACGACGACGACAGCGGCGACGACGACGCACTGCGGTAGGGGCTGCTGCGCTGCGAGTCCTTCTGTAGTCGGCGACGACGACGACGATGACGGCGACGATGACGACGACGACGACGACGACTACGACGACGGCGTCGACGACGACGACGATTGTGGCACGTCAGTAATTCGCCTGAGAGGGGAAGGGGAAACACTTCGCCTCGGATGCATACAATCCCTATAGCAACTTCTACACGGCGGGCAATCGTTTTGAGGCTGCCCGTGATTGAAAAAATGTTTCGCGCCCCGCTGGGTCTATTCATCAGCCCCAGGGGGGGTCGACCATCTGTTAACCACAAGTTGATATTAGAGCGTTTACTCGCGCGCAAAGCGGACACCATGCACCTCCCTCACATGGCGCTGATGAGCGCTGTTGGTCGCTATTGGGTGCGGTTTTCACACTATTAGGCGCTCTTGTGCGCCATCGAGCGCTGTTCGCCGATAGACGCTCAACCCAAGACGAGCGGGAGCTTCCGTAATTCGCTACGGTCGGGAATTTTGACTCAGCGTGTCGCGGCGGCGGCCCCAGCGACATGTTACGCCTAGCAAGCGGATAGTGACTACCTCCCAGACCACCCCAACCCAACCCGAAGACCCGAATTTCGGGTTGGGGGGGGTAAGGGTTCCACATGTGTTTTTTCGACGTTTCCCGACCCCCCCCCACTGGAAATCGAGGGTAAATCTGAGCCTTCGGGTTGGGTTGGGGTGGTTTGGTGGGTGGTGAGATGGCGTGCCGCTCCGCTGCGCGGGGCGGGAAGCCTCGAAGAGCTCGGGATGTGGATGCCTCCGGGACCGGGGCGCGGACCGCGTGCCGCGCCGAGGCGTGGCGGGCCGGAACCAGCGGCGCGGCACGCTGAGCCGGAGCTCTCGGCCGCAAGCTTCGGTCGGGCGTGTCCCCCACACAGGGGGATGTCTGACGAAAGATAGCAAGAAGTGCTCGAACATCGTCGAGGCATAGTCCCCCGACTCCTCTGCGACCTTCTATGGAATACCCCTCCTGTAAAAGGGCAGGCCCGACGGAACCGTGAGTTTCCTCCTCCTCGGGGGGAGGCCGGCAGGGCGGCGGGCGTCCTTGATCGAGAAGATCAGGATCCTGCCGCGGCCTCGGCCGGGCCCGCCAATCCCGGGCGCGCGCGGCGGCGGGGGCGTGGGCGCGTGCGGCGGGCGGGAGGCGCGGGAGGCCTGGCGGTGGGCTCACATGAGCACGGAGCGTGCAGCTTCGGGGGGGAGGGGGGGGGGTCAGCCGACCTCGCATCCTCCCTCAGCCGCGTCCCTCCTCCTCTTCCTCCTTCTCCGCCTCCTCGCCTGTGGGCGCGCTGCACCTCCTCGTCCTCCTTCCTCCTCCGCCTTCTCCCCCCTCGGGAGACGCACTTCTTCGACGCATGGTCGCGCCTGCGACGGGATACCAGATAAACTTGTAGCCTGGTCGCTGAGATCGTTTATTGGCGGTTCCTCCTCCTCCTCCTTTTCCTCATCCTCCTCCTCCTTTCCCTCCTCCTCCCTCTCCCTCGTCCCTCGTCCCTCCTCCCACAAGATCGAGGCGACTTCAGGCGCAGAGTCCAGTGCTCGCGCGTCACGTGGCCGTGCAGCTGATGACAGGAACCCGTGCCACCGACCTGGCTGTGTCCAGGGCTGCGAGCGACAAATGAGAGCTGTGCAGAACGCAAAGCGTTCACAATGCGGATGTGGAACGGAAAAGCGGCAACACGCATACACTTGCGGAGATCCGCGCGGATTCTGTACCTGCCCTGGGCCCCCCTCCCTGGCGCGCGGAGCGTGCCGGGGGCATCGCCGGATGGCGCTGCAAGGGGGGGTCCACTGCAGAACCAAGAAACCAGCGCGGACCTGACGCTATATTTTGTTCGTGCCCTTTTTGTCCGTCGAGGGGAGGAAGATCAGGAACCTGGAGGCCGCTCAAATGGGGTCAGAGTAGAAGGGGTTAGAGGATCGCGCCGCATCGCTGACGCATCGGCGACGTCGTCGGCATGGTCAGGATGAACTCTGTGGGAGGGTTCATCCAATTCGCCCACGCTTGAGCCGAATGTGATGAAGTCGGGCATGTCCCCCTACAGGCGGATTTTGGACGACGAATTTGAACATGCGTAAAACATGCCTCAACATTGGCAAACAATGCTCGAACAATCGCCCCCAGACGCATTCTTCGACCATCATTTTGGAACAGTCCTCCTCCAGAGGGAAAGGCCCGACTTAAGATTATGAAGAACCCTCGCCTGCTCGCCCTGGCCCAGCGACCTTTCGACCGCTTCCGGGGGACCCGGCCCGAGCAGCTCGCACGGAGCCGCCCCTCGGGCGCACGCCAACACGGTCTACGGACCCGTGGATCCAGCGCCAGCGCGCGGGCGCCAGATCCACGGATGGGGAGGCCCCCCCCCCCACTCGAAGCTCGAGGTCACCGCCGCTCGGTGCTCGCCATCGCGCGGACGCCCATTCCCGCGCGTGTGTCTGTGTTGCACGTGTCGTCTCCCCAGTGCTCCTCGATCGACGATCGAGGTGCACTGTGGAAACGACACGTACGATCGACGATCGACGATCGCCCTCGCCCGAGAACGATCGACGATCGCCCTCGCCCGAGAGCAGCAAACCAACAGGTCCGAGCGATGCCGAGGGCTCGGGCAGGCGGGGCGCGCCGATGCTGCACGGAGGCGCGGCCCGTCGCCAGTCCACGCGGCCTGTGGTCCACGTCTGCGAGCCCTGGCGCTCCTCGGGCCTCGCCTGGGCCTTCATTTTCACATCTTCTCCTAATTTAATTTTCTATTAAAATAAAAGAAGAAAGTTAAAGGAGAAGATGATATGAAAATGAATCGTTGGGACATCATCTGTTCTCTTTCTCTTTCTATTGTGGCTCGCCCAGTCGGCCCGGGCGCTCGGAGCAACCTGTAGGCGCTCCAGCTTCCCAGCTCCTGGGGCGCGCCGGAGCGCCCGCACGCCCAACTCTGCGACGAGCTCCTTGGCCCCCTCGGCCGACCAAACGACGCGGTGTGTACATCGAGCTGGGCCCTCCGAGTCGCGCCGCGGGGAGCGCGGCGCTATCGTCGCGCTCGCACGGCGCATCCCTCTGGATAAAGAGCATCACCCCCTCCACCCCCAGATCGGCGAAGCACGGGGCGCGAGGGGGGGGCGCCCGGCGGTGCTGATTCAGCCTCCCTCTCCCGAGAGAAGGGGTGAAGAAGGATGAGGAGGAGAAGGAGGAGGAGGAGGAGGAGGAGGACAAGGAGGAGGAGGAAGAGGGGGAGGAGGAGATGGAGCGTGAGCAGGGGCGAGGATGAGAATGAGGAGGAGGAGGAGAAGGAGGAGGAGGATGTGGAGGAGGGAAAGGAAATGGAGGAGGAAGAGAAGGAGAAGGAGGAGGAGAAGGAGTCGTACGGGGCGAAATGGGGAGGTTACATGTGGAAGGTCCCAGCGACCAAGCTACAAGTAGCGGGTATCCCGTCGCAGGCGCGGCCATGCGTCGATGAAGTGCTAAACCAAGTGAATGCCACAGTTTCCGTGCCCCCCCCCCCCTGTCCCCCGCCCCGTTTGGACCCTCCAAGGGAGGAAGGAGGAATGAGGACGAGGAGGGAAGGAAGAGGAGGGAGAAGTCTCTCCCTCCTTCCCTCTGGCGCCTTCCCGTCCCGTTTCCTCCTACCTCCCTCCCCCCTCCCCCCTCCCCCGTCCTCCTCCTCCTCCTCCTCCTCTTCCTCCTCCTCCTCTTCCTCCTCGTCGTCCTCCTCCTCCTCCTCCGACGGCGACGACGAGAACGACGACGACGGCGGCTCCGGCGGCGGCGGCGACGACGACGGCGACTGCGACGACGACGCCGACCACGACGGCGGTGACGGCCCCGGCGGCCGCGGCGAAAACGACGACACCGCGTGTGCTGCTGAGGCCCGGTCAGGTCAAGTCCTCCCCCGTGTTGGCGCCGGTGCCGACCGCCAGGCAGGGCGACGGGAGTCCCGCAATGCGCACCCAGGCCATGGACAAGACCTCGGCGCCGGCGCCACGCGTGGGAAGAAGCGATTCAATCCTTCTCCACATCCCTTCACTCCTCGTCCTGCTCTCCCCCTCCTCCTCCCGTCTCCTCCTTCGCCTCCATGCGCTCCTCCTTCTCCTTCTCCGCCTCAATGTACTCCTCCTCCTCGTCTTCCTCCTCCTCCTCCTCCTTCTCGTCCTCCTCCTCCTCCTCCTCGAGGAGAGTACGGCCAACGTCATCGGATGACGGCCAGTCTAGAGACAGCGGCGGCTCTACCTCGTAGTTTTCGTTTTGACTGGGCCTTCTGGGAGGTTTCTCGCTCCCGTGGCCGCATCCGCCTCGGAACACGGGCCAGGATGGACTCCTGGCGAGGGGGTCCACGGACCGCTCTTGACAGAATTTTTGGGCGGGGCTGGAGCAGAGGGAGTGATGAGACGATGCCTGTCGCCGCGGCGGGCGCACGCACATCGGTCTCCAGAGTCCGTGCGCAAATCGTGCGGCGCATGCGCCGGAAGCGCCGAGTGGAACAGCGAGAAGAAGAATGGCTTTCAGTGGCGAGAGAGTAACGCTACAACGACGAAGGGCACAAGCAACGAGTAATGACAACAAGAGCACTCCGAATGAAGGAAAGACGCGCCAACCGAAGAATTACCCCACCCAGCCTTCTGGCGAACCCTGGCTAGCTCTCGCTCTCTGGCCAAGCTTTTCTGTCCAACCCTCCCCGCCAACCTCTCGGGACAGCCCTGGTGAATCAAATCACTGGTAATATGCGCCACCGTGTTTGCATGGAGTGGCCGCGCTAGAATGCTTGCTGATATCTTGGAGGTAATTTAAATTTTCTAGGGCAGCCCCCCCCCCCCTCCTCGCAGAAAGTTCAGGCGACCATCCCCTCTGAAATTGCTCTCCTCTCCGGCGGTCTTTCCGGCCCCCAAACGGGCAATGTGGCCTCAAAGACGGCTTCCAAAGCAGTCAAGATGACACCAGGACGGCTCAAGATGTCCCAAGACGGCTCAAGCAGCTCTCAAGACGGCATCAAGACCCAAGACGGCCCAAGAGGGCTCCAAGAGGCTCTTCAAGAGAGCCCGAGGATGCAAACAACATTGACTTTCCTTGGGTTTTGGAGGATGTTGAGGTTCTCGCTCGTTTGGGCTTCTGACCGCCTAAGACGGCAGAAGAGGCCTCCAAGATAGTTACAAGACAGCCCATCAGGCCCCCAAGAGGGCCCCAAGTCGGCCCAAGAGGACGCCAAGATCGTCCAAGAGGCTCTCGAGAGGGCTCCAAGACGGCCCTAAAGCGCTCAAAGAGGGCACCAAGACGGCTCAGAGTGGCACCCAAGACGGCCCCCGAAGGCGTCAGACGGGCCATTCGCCTCCCTAAGACGGCCCAAGGCCCCAAGAGGCCCCCAAGAGGCCCCAGGAGGCCACCTAGAGGCCCCCGGGAGCCCCCGGGAGGGCCCCAAGAAGTTTTCTCCTCGTCCTCATTTTCCTCCTGATCATCCTCTTCCTCTTCCCCCTCCCGCTCCTCCTCCTCCTCCTCCTCCTCCTCCTCCATCTCCTCCTCCTCTTCCTCCTCCTTGTCCTCCTCCCCCCGACCGCGCGGACGAAGACGATGTCGGGATCACGGCCATCCTCAGTTCAGACCACTCGCTGTACTGCCGCGGGATGTGATCTCGCCTTCCTTTCTACCGCGGGCACGAAGACGAATCGAGCTGACGACCTCTCCTTATCATATCACTCGTCGGAATTGCGCTTTCCCTTTCCTGCACTCAATCTCCGTCCTGCAGCGATGCTGCACAGGCATGGTGGTGGGGTTTGCCGCAGGCAGCTGGATAAAAAGGAACAGTGAGAGGACATGCTTGCATTAATAAAAAAAGAAACTAACAAGATCGTCAAAGAGACTTACTACGACTGTGCCGCGATAAACATCGTCCAATTGTTGACAGACTGGCCCAGCGTGGATCGGAGGTGCCCCGTTTGGCGCGCGGAGCCTGGTACAGTGTGACGGGGACGGAATTGTGCCAACGGGGGGGCGGGTAACCTCGGGCTTGCACCTTCAGTTTAACGCTTATCACGCTAAACGGGGTGGCGGTTAGAAAGCGACGAACCGCATGGAGCTTCCTTAGAACATCGAACCAAATTCGAACATCGGTTCCAAACAATGGACGAGTTGGCGTCTCGGGCTGGACTTTCTCGAAGCGTAGATTTGAACCAGGTTCGAATCTGGTTCCAAACAATACGAACTTCGGCGACTCGTGCGGGATTTTCTCGAAAAGCAGATTCGAGCCAGGCTCGAACTTGGTTCCAGACAATAGAGAAGCGAGGGTCTCGAGCAGGACTTCCTCGAAACGCAAGCTCAAACCAGATTCGAACTCGGTTCGAAACAACAGAGCAGTAAGCGCTTCGTGCGGGGTTTTCGTAGCACAGCAAGCTCGAAGACTTGAATATAAACAATTGCAAAGAGCGCTTCGTCTGGGACGGCCTTGTGTTCGTCTGTTCGTCTGCATCTGTCGACATTCCACTGCATCGTGATCAACAGCGCCGCAGTGTCAACATTGGGCGAAATTGTCACCACGCCCATGCAACAAGAACAATCAAAGGGAAGGGGGTCAACGGCTTCACATTGTCCCCGAGATCGTTTCTGGCATGGGGTTCCGTGGTGCGAGTTGTGGATGTTGTCATTGTTATCGCTGTCGCCCCGCGACCCGCTGCAGTGTCCGCCCTTGTCGCCTTCTACGCCAGAGCCCTCGTGGGAGAACCCCCCACACCCAGAAACCATCCCGGCGGCGACGATAAGGGCGAATAGCCCAGGGGCGGGCATTACACGTATTCGCCCGGGAGCCTTTTCGAAGCCATCGATCATCGGCGCGCCTGAGTACATGTATTGCTCTCCCCTGGGCTAGTCGCCCCTATCGTCGCCTCTGACCATCAACCTGAATGGACAGACCAGGACCTGCCACGCCCGGCCAAGAGCCGCTGGACTTCGCAAGCGGGGGCCTGGCTGAACAGGGCTTGGGCTTTCCCGTAGGCCCCCGTCTGCTATGCCCCCGTCCACGGCGCCCAGGGCCCCCCTGAAACTGGGGCGTAGCCAAACGTGGAAATCGGCGCTCCTGAGGGGCAACGATACGAAGGGGCAAGGATACCAAGGTTGACTGTACTGGCTTGCAGCGTCCTGGCTCCTTGGGCCCTGAAGTTCCCCTCCCGTCGCTCCCCCCCGTGACCGACAAAGCCACGAGCTCCGCCCCTGGGGGGACCAGGAGGTACTGACACCGGTACTGCCCGGACCTCTCCTGGGGTGCGTCCTGACGAGACCTTCGGGGCGAAGCCAGCCGGCGGCGGCATCGCAGCACCGGCGAAGGGTCCCTCGGTTTGCGGGTCATCTCTCGGGCTTTTGGCGGCCCTTCGGGACGACTCGGGCGCCTGCGGGCCACTCTCGGCCAGGCGCCGCTGCTGGAGGGCGTCCCGAAGCGGAGAAAACACCGAGAACTGACGAAGGCGTCCAGAAACCTCAGTAGTACCACTATGATTACTACCACTACCACTACCAGTATTATTACTACTACTACTACTACTACTACTACTACTACTACTACTACTACTACTACTACTACTACTACTACTACTACTACTACTACTACTACTACTACTACTACTACTACTACTACTACTATTACTACTACTACTACTACTACTCTACTACTACTACTATATCTTATCAGAATATACTCCTACTCCCCCCTCAGGCCGGCAGATAGCGGGCGCATCCGGGTGGTCCCATCCTAACCTGTAAAAAACAATACAAAATCAACATGTTTCTTATTTTTTCCTCTCGACATGGACGTCCTGTCGTCCACGGCGATAATCCATTGCGAAAAACACCACAAAGAGCACACGCGCGCGTCCATGTCAGAATCCTACCGAACACCGTGTGTTTGCAAGCATTTCAACATAAAAACATAAAAAACCCAATGCTCTTTCACAAAAAAATATACAAATTTCCCGCCCGGGCTCTGTTGCTGAAATCATAG